CGCAGAATAAGGGCAACGACGAAGCAGCATCGTGGCAAGTTATACCGATGTAATAGCGATCGAAGATGCTGACGGAAGACAACTGCATTCAGAGAGACATAATAAACTTTACTAACATAACAACATAACTGCGATTTGGTACTGTGATTGGTCCCCACTTATATTAATTGATAGAGAGGTGCGGCGATAAGTGCTGTGAGTTAAATGATACAAAGCTGTCAATCCTCGGGCGCGGCCTCGGAATCATGGCCGCATCACGTCTAGCTTTTATAGAGGCGCTCGATGGTTGCCCAGTGCCCACTGGGTTGAATCTTGGTTGAAACTATGCCATGACGTCGATCAACGAAAATCCAATGTTTATTCAACGTCGAAATGAACAAACTTTCAAAGTTGAAACGGACGTTGTTTCAACGGTAAATATTGGTTAAAATTTTGGTGAGATTTTTGACACAAAAAATACAACGTTTATTGACGGTTGAGTGATACAACGTCTATTCAATGTTGACACTGCATGACGTTGTTGTTCAAACGATAAATATTGGTCGATATTTTATGCAACCACTTCATTATTTCAAACTATTAACATTCACGCGGGCGTTTGTACTTGTGTTTGCGAACTTGCTCTTTGTTTGCGAACTTGCTCTTTGTTTGCGAACTTACTCTTTGTTTGCGTATTTGTGTTTTGTTCATATGGGCGATGGTACGTGAGCCTCTCTCTGTAACCCTTCAGTCTCCTGGGCGACACAGCGTCATTTGGTTGAACTTCCTCCATGGTACGGCTCGGTAGGGTCGCCCTTCCGCTCCCAATTTCCCTCCAGGTGTTTGGCCCCTTCTTACTTTAGTTCCTCCTCTCGAGTCTCGCTTCCAGGTTGATTTAGGGCCTTCTCTACCAGACGTTTCCTCTTCCGGGGTTCCAGTTTCAGCGCCATGATGTCGTGTATATGTTCAGGGGTAAACCTCCTTCCGCTGTGTGTGGCCCACCAAGCCCATCATTCTCTCTTCTATTCGGTATCTCATTGGGTTCCTGCGTCGTCCTTTCCAGAGTTCTTATTTGTGATGATTGGTGCGGCGCAATAAATATTTGCTGAGCATATTCCTCATATGCATTTGGTTAAGCACAAGCTTGACCGTTTTTTAGATTACTCTTTGGCTGTTAGTTTTCCAATGTTTCACAGCCATATATAACTTGCGTCTGACATTAGAATTGAAGAATTTTTTTAATTGAGTGTGTTGAGGGTGATTAGCAAGCTTGTCTTCCTATACTTTGTTGCAGCAAATTTAAATGCGCGAGCCGTTCGCAAACTTCCCTAATTCGTCATTGGACATCTTTCTCGGGCCGGTCCGCGATACCTAGATAGGTGAAGGCGCTCCACCTCCTCAAGTTTCGCTGCCCTGCCGACAGAAACTGCGTGTCAATTGTTGTGCGGGTTTTATCTTCATTCGACTTTGTGCTTCGTAATGTTGGAGTTTCAACCCCGCACTTAGGCTGGCCCCTTCACGTGAACTAGGTTGGTCTATTTTGGTCTGAATATGGTCTTGGCGTGTGCGAGAAGCCAGCTGCCAGCATCCGTCAGCATATGTCGATAGTCCGTCAAGCAGGGTCCAAGGTGGGTGTGGCGTCTGCCGCCCAGCCGTCTGTGATGGATCACATTGCGGATGTTAACATTATTGGTGAGCGAGAGCGTGTACGATACACCATATACGCAGAAGTGTCATAATAAAGATACTCAGGCCTATATATATCATAGGACTATTATTATATGTCTATATTATATGTCTATAGTATATGTCTATATTTTATGTCTATATTATATGTCTATAGTATATGTCTATAGTATATGTCTATATTTTATGTCTATAGTATATGTCTATATTATATGTCTATAGTATATGTCTATAGTATATATCTATATTATGACATTCCTGCTATACGGGCGTGAAACGTAATGCATTATTTCCGATCTTTTGTATCTGTGTACGATCGATCGATCAGGAATAAAATTAAAACTATTTAGTTTGTATTCGCTCCTGGTATGATATATAGGTGGTCGGTTCACTGTTGATTATCAAAAGAGGTATCATCATACGTGTACGTATGATGTGGTGCGTAATTACCATTTACAAACACCGTATCTATCGATCTATTATAAAGTTCGCATCAAACGTTTCTACCAGGTCAATATAATGTTTCCCTATGTGGCGGACAATTGTTAAAAGACCAATGACATTTCAGATGTGATGAAGAAACACAATCTTAAGGAATACGACATCAAAATTGCTGATGTAAGTATATATTCTCCCACCTTAGGATTGTTATAAAACAACGACAATATTTCTGCTAAATAATTTTGACTTCAATTGGTACCTTGATTGCCTCTCATATCTTCTCAATTTACTCCGTAAAGTTGTAATAATCTATGTATGATGTGTTTCTGTTAGCTAAGGATAGATTCTATTGTTGGTTTGATGACAATAATGATAAAATTAATTACCTATAATATCAGGAGTGAATAATAGAGAATCTCTGATAATATCACAGTAGCACACGGCGTGAGTACACAGCCACACGAGATAAATTCGATTTGCGTGTGTGTATGTATATATATATATATATATATATATATATATATATATATTATTACTTTTATCAAGAGCTAATAATACATTATACATACATACATAAATACGATTCTGTGACAGAACATTTATTTTATGATGATAAAGCCATGTCATTATTCACTCTCGGTAACTGATCGAGTCGTCTTCGGGTGAATGAATGAAGCCGATATACAAACCCAGCGTAAAACTGCTGCATGTCCGAAACGTGTAAACTCTAAACCATTAATTTATGCAGAATTATTAATAAACTGCTAAAACTGTCTCAACTGGCCAGACTCTTAATGAACGCGTCACGTTAAAATTATTTACTAATGCGTGTAGTTGAAACTCAAACATAGCTACACGTCATTAGGTTTAGCATACGTATTTTTTGGGGGTTCGCATAGGCTTTAAAAAACTTGCTGAAATATGCTAAGTCATCATTCCAAGCTCGGGCAATTCACCGTCAACTTCAGTCGGCTGTTTGCTCCATAGAGACATAACAGACTAGTCACGGTCATAATGCGCTTAATAAACTCTAAAAGGGCAAAATTACAAGTTAATGTATTATTATAAGTAATTAGTAATACATATTAGTATATGTTATTAAGGTTATGCTAATATGGCAGTCTCTCGCTGAATTTACGGTATGCTCCCTCCATGGGGGGGGGCTGCCCTAATTAATTATAAACCGCACCGAATTAATTACTGTTGCTTGTCTTACTTCTGTACTTCATCCTACACTAAATCACTGAAACTCGCGGACGGTTCGGACTAGAACATTCGCGTACTGTTGGCGTTTTTTTCTTACAGTTTTTTTTTACACGTGAAGAACATTAACGCAAATCTTCGCAGAAGCAGAACGCGCTAAGAACACAAACAAAGTCTAATCCAGGTTTTTTTTCCCATTTCTCCGGCAGTAGAATAACGGGAATACTGTTGGACGCCTTAGTTAGAAGCGAGTCTTTGGCACGCTTATCGATGTATCCCGATGCCAGGCAAACGCTCCGATTTCATGCACATGCTCTCTAATCTTTCATGCCGGCGACCTTGATGACTGCCCATCATCGTACGGTGGACCGTTGTGCTAATTCCCACACAGCGTGCTTCTCAGCAGTGTGAATGTGAGAGTCGGCCGGGACAGCTGACGCGGGCAAGACGCTTTGGTATTTCGCGTTTACCTTGACGGGAATGATCATTGAAGGGTAAAGTGATCACCTATGATGGTTAGTACTATGATGCCGTAAGTGAAACTCTATATGGGTAAGTGATCTCCTTATGACGGGTAAGTGATAATTAGGCCATGTCTTGCTCGCTCACTCTTTCACGCCACGCTCTCTGTTCTCTCTCTCCTCTCTCTCACGTTCTCTCGACGCTCTCTCACTTCCGTTTCTCTCACGGCTCTCTCTCTCTCTCCTCTCTCCATCGCTCTCCCTCTGCGCTCTTCGCTCTCTCTCTCTCTCTTCTCATCTCTCTCGCCTGCTCTCTCTCCTCTCTATCTATGCTCGCGCGCGTCTCTCTCTTCCTCGGTCTCCTTCCTTTTCTCTTTCCCTTTCTCCCCTTTCTCTCTCTCTCATCTCTCTCTCCTCTCTCTCTCTCTCTGCTCTGCTTGCTCTTCCCCTCTTCAACGCACTTCTGCTCTCTCTCTCTCTCTGCTCTCTCTCTCTATCTCTCTTTCTCGTGGTGCTTGGTATGTTACCTAGCACGTAAGCTAACGATCTACCAATTATTTCAGCTGTCAATAGAAAAAAAAGAGAAGAAGGAAAGAAGCGAGGTGAAGGGGAGGGAAACGAGGAGATGATGTAGTGTGTGCGCGGCAGACAGAACCGACGTTTACATCAAGTGTCTCAAGGTCGAGAAAGGTCACGACTCTAGGTAGCTAGAGCGTGACCAATCCATTACAAACTCGACAAAATCTGCGCATGCTCGATGAAACACAGCTGCCCAACATGTTAAGGCAGTCATTGCAAGAATTAATTACCAATAAAGCATTATAACTCTGGCATGGATTACATGAACTTACATTATTACGTTTACATATGGATTACATTATATATCACATTAGATGACTGGAATGGCATGGAATTATTCTCCAACCATGAATATCCAGGCTATGAGATAACAGGAGGACATCTGTACCTTGCCTCCCACAAGGAAGCCGTTGCTTCCGTTTGCCTTCAGGCGCGCTTCCAGAATCTGCAGTGTCTTAGGCAAGATTACCTCAGCTATAGACTTGGTGAGCTCAGCCTGAGAAAGCACCAAGTATCTCACGTTAGTGCACAGAATAAGTATAATCGTAGAAGTACACACACACGACTGCCACGCATGCGCACGCACGCACACTTATCTATCAATTTATTTATTTATTTATCATATATATATATATAAAATATATAATATAATATAATATAATATATATAATATACACTAATATTAACTAATATATATATTAATATAATAATAATATAGATATAATATATAATAGATATAATATAATATAATATAATATATATATAATATAATATAATATATATATATAATATAATATCAATAAATATAATATAATATAATATAACTATATAAATATATAATATAAATAATATAATATAATATAATATAATATAATATAATATATACAACCTTTCTGGTTTCGCTCTGTGTGAATGTTGCTTCGACCGACGGCCGGAAGAGGTCGCTGCCGACTTCCACTGTCTCGTTGATGAGCCCAGCTTCCCACACGCTGTCTCCCATGAAGCCTGCGCATAGCAACCACGCGTTAACAGACGTGCAAGTCATAGTCAAGCTCACCATCGATTTCCATCAAAAATACGTCACTCGCTCTACGCACGTTTTTTTCGCTGTTTGGGCAATTTTAAATTGTATCTTACTAATCAATATCTTCAAAAAAGCACATTTGAAAAGTTTGGTTACGGGTTCGATCGATACGACTGCAGAATAAATCTCGTACGAGGTGTCGTCGTGGCGCCGCTTACAACTACACACTCCATCGTTTATACGAACAAACTAAGCTACAAACTAGTAGTTTAAACTATTGCTAACTAATTGCTATTGATACTGCATAGCCCCAAGAGCGTATTACGTATGCTTAATACGCTAAGCTTATGCGCTATGCTTAATAAGACTACTTAATATGCTCTTGATAGCACTATATTTTATCTATCCGTATTACACTCACCGAATTCTGTGGCTAGCTATTGGTTGATGGCGGAACTATGACGAAGCAATTTGCCGTCTACTGTGAGTACGGGTAGTTCTCCCTGCGCCGTCACTGTGCGAGAGAGATGTAACAGGTGTGAATATGTACAGGTGTGGATGTAACAGGTGTGAATATGTACAGGTGTAGATGTAACAGGTGTGAATATGTACAGGTGTAGATGTAACAGGTGCGAATATGTACAGGTGTAGATGTAACAGGTGTGAATATGTACAGGTGTGGATGTAACAGGTGTGAATATGTACAGGTGTAGAT